ATATATATATATATATATATATATATATATTATATATTATATATTTATGTTTATGCTATATATTTAATCAATACTCGCCTTTGATTACAGCTAAATAAACTTTAGAAAAAATCCATTAGCTAGATATTAATCAAATTTGAGATTGAATACAAAAGATCCTTACATGTTTTCTTGTATTGTTAATAAGTCTAACAGAAGTACAACAATATATAGCATGGCTATTGTCTCCTTTGATAACTAAGTACTTCTTTGATTCTGAATGTTCTTCTTCAGTCAAAAGTAGTTTAGACAGCTTTATCAATATTGGTAGGATCGAGTTTCTCATAATTGATGGGATCATCACAATGTCTATTATATTATTTCCATAATTATACTAGGCTCATTTAGCTATTTGTTTATTTGGTCACAGTGTGCTAATTTACCTAAAGAATTATTCCTCAATATGATTGCAGTGTTTTGCCCAGCCTGAGAGATAAATGAAACAAGTTCAGGTTTTGAATCTGGTCTTTGGTAATACCATAAGGATGATCAACTTTTAAAGCTCAGAGTGAGAGGAAATCTTAACTTCCTGTCCTACCTCCCTGTTGTCTTGGAAGGACTCCTTGATCTTCCTTCATGAGGTATTGTCTGTAACTTAAAAGCATTCTACTAAATATCTATATAATAGACCTTTATTGAGTGAATAAGTTTTCAAACCCATTTTGAATGTCTCTATTCTTTCAGCTGCTCCATTATATGGAGCATACCCCCTATACCATAACATACAAAATCAGGCTATATTGTAACTTATGGTCTTGCCCTTTATGTAAAAAAAATTATTATAGAAGATCTGAACAAGCTAAATAACTTTTTTCATCTTTTTGATGGTTCTTAAAATAAATTTGTAAAAAAAGTTCAAATGGACTTAAGTGAAAATAGTAATACTGTTTTTAGAAGATATTATACTTCAGAATTGATGGAAAAGCCCCATATATTCTATTTATTTTTAAATCCTGCACAACTGGTTTGAATGATGAAAAATGCTTGAGATATATGTGGATGGCTGTGAATGTGAATAAACTTTTTAGTAATGTTTAACAAAAAACATCAAAACAATTAATTAAGTTAACTCATCGTACACACACGGCAGATACATGTTCACACATGGAACCTGTGGTTTACATACTATCAATGGATCCTTACAAACTGGTTTTAAAACTATGAAAAAATAGCTGAAAAATATGAAAAATATGAAAAAATATGAAAAAAAAAGCTGAGGCAACAAGTTCAGACTTCCTTTACATTTTATTTGTGGTACATGGTGGGCTTAAAAATGAAAGAAAGAGATTTTATCAAAAGTGTTTAGTTATTGACTACTAGAAGTCTTTACCTTAGAGTAAGCATCTTGATATGGTAAATTAAGGAATAACCTAATATAGCTTTGAACATTTAAGTGCTTGAACAAATGAAATTTTGGTTCCTTTAAAGTTGAAGTTATTTGTAGAAATCAGTGGCAGTCTAAATGCATAAATCGTATTATTTTTAAGGATTTAAGAATTTATATATATATATATATATATATATATATATATATATATATATATATATATATATATATATATATATAAATCTTTAAAAATAGTATGATAAGAATTTATATCTTGAAATATTTCTTTACTATTGTAATAAAACAAAAAATATATTGCATAAAGAGCAATACAATTGCATCATCATAAAAAATTAGGTACCAAGGAATGCATTTAGACTGTCACTGATTTCTTCAGAAAACTTCAAATTTAAAGGAATCAAAACTTCATTTAATCAAGTAAGAACAAATATAAACCAAAAATATTTTTGAAGAAAATATTTTCAAACTAATTTTTCTTTGATAAAAAAGAGGAAATTTTTTTTTTTGAGAAATCAAGTGGGGTAAGTGGCTCCCAGTGGTATGGCTCCCAGTGCTACAAAAAAGTTGTGGACCATGCCTCGCTATCTATATATATGGAAATCTATATATTTGCAGATCAAAATCTTTATATTGTTTGATCATTGGATATAAAATAATGTGTTATAATTTTTTTTTTGATATCATCAAGCTCAGATGGGTTTCTTGAGCATTAAAAACAGGTATACAAAAAATTCACATTTCCGATAATTTTATTAGATTCACTTCTGAAAATAGCCAGATACAAGTTTCTAAGTAAAAAGATCAAATATTTTTAAAGTTATGTGATTTGAAACCACTAAATAAACGTAGTAATTCTAAGGGGGTGAGAGGGGCCTAGCCAATATCTGCTTATTTATATATATATGTATATATATATATATATATATATATATATATATATATATATATATATATATATATATATATATATATATATATATATATATATATATATATATATATATATGTATATATATATATATATATAGAGAGAGAGAGAGAGACCCTTAACCATCAGACGGGTCCCAATATTTTGAAAAAAATTGTTTTTATTATTTTAAAATTTTTTATAAAGTTTCACTTCTTTTGAGACCCAACATGATATACTTTTGAAGAATTTTTTTTTTTTTCAAAATATTAGGAACATATATACATATATATATATATATATATATATATATATATATATATATATATATATATATATATATATACACTGTAAAAAAAAAGGGTTTTTTAAATAGCTCTAAAAGGTTTTTTACTTTGTCCCGAGGGTGGAACCCTTTAAGGGTTTTCTAGAAAACCCTTTTTTTAAAAACCTTTAATCCGAAACTAGAAAACCCTTTTTTAACTTGTACTTTCTTTTTTATTTGAATTATAAAATATTCAAAATTATTGCGCAATAACGATTTCAAGCACGTATAAAGTTGGATATATATAACATATAAAGTTTTATATTTAGGCTAGATTGAATATACACTTTAATTTATACATAATATTGCTTATATGCAAATGTTTAGATTCTTTAATTCCACTGCAATTTGGAAACTCAATAAAAAAACTTATTTAATGATGTTTAAAATCTTATAACATTAAATAATATACAAAAAAGTTTACATAAAATAATAAAAACATCAGAGACATGTCAATAAATGTTGTACAAAAAAAAAAACAAGTTGTACAAAACTAAAAAAATTGGAAAATAACGTTAAAACTATAATATGAAACTATTATGAGCAAATTTATTAAACTATTATGAGTTATCATACAAATTTTCTGCTACAAATTTAACTATTACAACTATTATATTTCAACGTTATAAGTGATATTGAAGTTTATTGAACGTTAAGACCTATTTTCAAAAATTAAATTGAGAAATCGCCTAGTAGCACAATAAAATATAATAAAATTTAGAAATATTGCAAATATTCACAAGTTTTTTCGAATTTAGTGACAAAAAAACATAAATAAATTATAAAGATTTACAACAAAAAACAAAAATCATAAATTTTAGTGCAAAAGACGGTTGCCCCATTTGCTGACAATATTTGGCACTTTTCCTTTCCCACCAAGAAGCACTTTTTCTAAAAATTGACATGTATTGGACAATCCTTTTGGGAATTCAATGCTGAATATCCAAAATGCTGCAAACCATGCTTGAAAAGCCGCGGAAAAAGTGCAAATAGTTTTAGGAAACAAAACTTCCTTGTCGACTGATATATTCCACTCGTCGTCTTGTGACAATATGACTGGACTAAGTGGTACTTGCTGTATAAATAAATAAATATAATAATTAATTTCATTAAAAAAAAAAACTGAAAAAACTTTAAAACCCTTTAGTACAAAACTTTGAAAATCATTCAATTTTAAAATTTCTTATTTGAAAACATTACCATATAATACAAATTATTGCGAACTCCTCAGCTAAAGAACAACATCACTTTTTTAAATTTCGTATGAGAGTATTTACATGGACTTAAAATATTCAATAACTTATTTCCTCAAACCAGTAAATTTTTGCATTTCCTAAGATCTAATATTTCCTAATATTTCTTAGACCATCTTGTTATAAAATATATATTAGTTTATATAGTTAAATAAATAAGAAATATATTATATTGGAATCGACTATAAAAAATGGACTATAGAAAAAAAAGATCAAGTGCAATTTCCTAAATAGTATACAATGTACCAATAAACATCTACCTGCTTTGGTAAGGGAAAAAACAATTCTTCTTTCTCCCCAAATAATGAGGGTAACAGCAATGTAACAAACATCACCTTCCAATCTAAAAGTATTTATATCTTTAATTGTAAATATATGCAAAATAATACATTTGATAAAACTAGTATATATAAAATAGCAGTATTAGCACACATGTGTAATGTATTAAGAAATGGTCAAATGTTTTTAAGTTAATCAATATTTGCTGGAATTACTCGTGGAAATACTAAACTCGTGTAACTCATTGCCTACTATAACTAGTATTAATTGATGTTGGAAAATTACAACTTTTATTTTACAATAAAACCAGAATTGTAAGAATGAAAAATAAAAATTACCCTGTTGTTTATCATTGTCCAAAGTTTCTTCTAAATATTTGTTTATCATTCTTGAATATTCACAATATTTTTTGCATCTTTTGGCTGCTTCTTTGATCACACCATCATAAAGGGTTAGAAATTTCATTTTTAAATTGGTTACATCTACACCATACAGCAAAAGCACATCTGCTGTAAACTTTAATTTAAAAAAATCATTTGTAAAATTCACCTACATTATGTTATTACAAAAATAAGCCTATACTTTAAAATTTAAATGTTCATAAGGTAATAATTTTTATATAGTCTTTCATAACTGTCAAAGAAAGTCAATAAAAATATTGTAAAAAAAAGTACATTTTATAAAAGAACAATAGTTCTTTATATAATCTTACAAAAATATTTAGTCGTAAACACGGAAATTCTTCCAGAACTTCTGCAGTTGTGTGGGCATGGCAGAAAAGTTGTCTGTACTCACAAGTTCTTTTCATTTTATCTTTGATTATATCAAAGCTTGATGTCTGTTTTTTTATTTCTTTTTTTAAAGCATCTTGATGTTTTTTTATGCTTATGTCATCCTCACCTTGTACCACATTAGCCAACTAACAAAAAGAAGTTAAACTGTACATAGAGTGGTATATTATCTTACAACAATCAGCTTGTGAACAGTAACCAAAATATACATTTTTGACATGATATACTTTTGACATCTAAATAATGTCACATTAAAGTAATTATACAAGGTTATAGCAAGTAATATGTATATACTTTATTACATACCTTAACTCGAGCTGTTTTTGAGAGAGTACTGTTGTCAGGATGATTAATTTCAACTTGATCTACTTTTCGTTTTCTTCCCAAAACACCAGGCCTTCCAAATTTTTCTCTTGTTACAGCAATTGAATTTTCGCTACAAAGGGGTTGTCTGTATTTTTTAAATTTCCTTCGAAGAGCTACTCTAATAGCATTCTAAACTCAAATTACTAATTTAAAATGTGAAATAGACATATATATTAAATTTTACAATCAATTTTCTTATTTAACAAATGATGACAAATAAAAATATAATCAATAATATATAAAATGGTAATTGCATTACACTACTTCCATCATAATCAGCCAAAAAAGGATATTTTAATATAATTGCTGAGCTAACAGCAGAATATATTCTTCTGGTTGGATACCTGTATAAAAAGTTTGTTATAAAACATTACAAAATATTTAATACTGATATTATAATATAAATCTAGCAAAGTAAAGAACAAATTATTGTTTTAAATATGAAAAATAATTAATCATGAAAAAAGCATGTAATGAAAATTAAGAAATGGCAAACTCAGAGTCGGCAAAGTATAAAACAAGAACAATAATTTTCAACTTACAAAATGTCACGCCTTTTTAAGTCATCAAATAGTGCATCAATTAAGAGCGCTTTGCTTTTTGAGCCTAAACCAAAACTAGCCTTGTCTTGACATTGTAGCTTAGCTACAACATTATCCGGAAAAAGTGGCAACTGATATACAAAAGGAAATACTTGCACCTGGCTGCATAAATAAAATAATCTATCACAGTAATTCAAGCAAACCAGAGTAATTAACTTAAATTACTCTGAATTAAATTACATCATTCAACTGTAATTAAAGTAAAGGTAAAAATATATTTTATAAAAATAAAATTTGTCATTAAATGCATAATAGTTCATGAACACAAGTATTATACAAATATTAAAGTTTTAAAATTAAATTAAAGTAAATTCAAATCAATGATACAGTTTTATTATTAAAAAAAATATGTATATAAAGTAAAAATACTATAACAAACCTATGTACACATTCAGCTTCTTCAATTTCTGGAAAACTGCCACTGTTTGTTGTTTCGCCCTTTTCATTATTTACACTGATAACACTTGATACAACTGCAGTATAGCTAATTTCAGAATTATCTAATGTTGCTGAAACAGATTGTTTTGTTGTTTTCAAAAGACGAATAAATTTTATCTGATCTTTTATTAAAGGTAAAAGCTCTGTCAGCATTTGCTCTGTAAGGTCACATAAATAGTCACCAGTTAATTCATGCCCTATTGCAAATAAACAATAAGAACAATAGTTTTACTAAACATACATAATTTTCAAATAAACAAACTACATAAAATAAACAAACTAAATAAGTATTCAAATAATCATGTCCTTAAATTGAAGAGCAAGACGGATGCAAAACGCTATATCTCATGCTCACATACTGAGAGTTGTTGAATTTAAAATAGTCATGCCGATTAAAATCAATAAAACATCCTGTTCTGCAAACTGTCCACTCATTTTCATCCAAAACTTGATAAGAATGCAAATGATGTGAAAAACAATTTGGTGTCAATAGGTTTCCACATAACAACCAACAGTCGCGTAAACAGACAATGTATACCACTCTAAAAAAAATTGGGACAGTTTCTTCTGTAACAGTATGCAACACATACACTGCTTTAATAGAATAGAAAATACTATCAACTGATATTGATTTTGCTATAACTATGGATTCATTCCCTTCTATATCTAAATTAAGTAACAATCTTATAGCTTCTTGTACTTTAACATCCAAGTTATGAAAAAATCTAGGTGCGTTTCCAGACACAGTATAATTAGATAAAAGCATATCATCTGTCAGCATTTCCCAGCACTGCAACATTTGATGACGCTTTGACAATGTTTTGGTAATATTCTTAAAACATCGTCCATTTGAGGCAGCTTTTTTAAAATACTGATGTTAGATTCAAATCGTAAACACCAAAAATTTCGTAAAGGCCCAAAAAGACGTATCAAACAAGGGTAATGAACAAGCATGTGGATTTTTGGAATAATATATTCAGAACCAAATACTTCAGAAAATGTTTTCAAAAACATAGCAACTAGTTCTTCTAACATGTATATACTGTCACTATCTACAATTGGGGCAATAACAATGTCACATATTTCACGAAGTATAAGATAAGTCTCCCAGCCAATATTTCCACGTGGTACATCATTACCGACTAACTGCGGAAACAATAGGAAAAGTTCTAATTTCTGTACAGCTGTTCCATTTATGTGTGCTTTATCTGATGCAATGTTTTTAGGTAATTGGCAAGGGCGATTAGATGAATTAATTAAATGAATTTTGTTTATAGAATCGTTTATATTATTTACTGATAATGTATTACAAGAACGTAACAAATGTTTGATAACACATTTCAAAGTTACTGGCATAATGCCTTCAAATAAATCATGCATTATATCTGAAGGGAAAGCTGTAAGTACATCAAAGTTGTCTAACTCTAAAAAATCACACTTTTTGCTAACACCATACACATTCTTGTTTGCTGCATTATCAATTATAGCAGCTAAGTGGTATTCATGAATTTCTGGTGTTCTGAGACGAAGAGTGCTTTCACTAAAGTTATTTCCAATTTCTGACTTGTCCACCATACAGAAACGACAAATTCTTCCAGTATGGAAATACTGCTGAAATCCTCCTATAGCATGAGCTGAAAGCATATCAGCTGATATACCTGTAAGTTTGCCTTTTAAACGTTGACATAATCCATCGACGGAAACCTCAATTCCTTCTCTCTGCAGTACATTTAAATCATAAATTAATGGACGAAGAACTTTAGTGTAGTCATATTTAGCCATTTTTATAAATTTATGTTCAATCAATAAAGCCAAATGAATAAACTTTTGCTTTGAACGAAACTCAGATGGAATATTGCCTAACCAAAAAAAAAAATGCAGTCACTTTATGCTTCCCTCGCTTAGCTCCTATTGGAATGCAAAAACTCAACTTCATCTACATATAACTGAATCTGCAATGCACTTGGATTTTCAGAAAAAAAATTGTCACTATGAAAAAGTTCACTATCACAAAAAGACATCATAAAATCATTATTAGAAAGAGACTGATTGTAACTGTCACCCAAACAATTGTAAACATCTTCATGGAAAACTAATTTCGATAAAACTTCCAGAATCGGAATCTTGATCTAATTTTACATTATTTTGATCATTTGATTCTTCGGTTGTTTCAGATGAATCTATAATGTTATCATTTCTATTATTTCTACTCCCCTGATCACTTTCATTATCATTAGACCAGCTTCTTAATAAATTACTTTGCTTTCGTTGAACATGTTTTTTTAGACTATTAGCACTATTGAAATTTTGTTTGCTTGCACTTGAAACACATCTAACGTAAAAAAGAGGCTGATTTTCATGAAACAAGATAAGATGTCGTAAATACTTTCCAAATGAAAAATAATTGTTGCCACATTCACAATAAAATTGGGGCATATTTGGCTATTGTATATTATCAGGAATCTGAAATGTAAACAGTACAATTAAAATGTTTACTATAAAATGCATAATAATAAAAAAATTACTTTCAAATTCGGCTGCAGTCTTTTCATTTAATCCATTATCTAACAGCCATTTGGCTACTTCTGCAGGCGACCAGTTTTTAATATTTGCAGGCATAATTCTTTAACTTTATTATTAGTTTTACTTTAAATTTTAATTATTAGCTTTACTTTAAAATTGTAAAAATATTTTAATTGACCTATAGGAATCTCATAGATAAATCGGTTAACTTAAAAAGTATACAATTTTGCGTATTTTACTTTAAAAATTTTAACAAAATACAATTTTAAATATAATAAAATAAAAATACTATTTATTTTATTTAAAATATCATATTTCTAGGCAATTGTAAATTTATTTGATTTACGACGAACAAACCCTTTGCTAAAGGGTTTTCTAATAAAACCCTTTCAAAAAACCTTTTTTTACACACCAAAAGGTTTTCTAGTGGTAGAAAACCTTATGCAAGTGTGAAAAACCTTTTTTGGAAACCTTTTTTTTTTACAGTGTATATATATATATATATATATATATATATATATATATATATATATATATATATATATATATATATATATATATATATATATATATGCAATTTTTTGAAAAGCTATATTGTTTATAGCTATATAATATAAGTATAAACAAGCCTCGGCGGGATTATATAAGTGCGAGAGTGGCAAAAAACTTCTAAAATGAACATGGCGAGTCATGAGAGCTTATCCTCTTAAGAGCTTTATAGGAGAGCTTTTGGTTTTAGTGCGAGCTATCTGTTTATTCATTTAAAAAAATTGGTTATTAAATACAAAATTTTGGTTTTATATTTGTTACAAGCACAGGGCGCGACAAGTTAAAAAAGTTATCGTTCTCTGATAAAGTTTTTAATTTAAAAATATTTTACTTTTGCTAGAGCCATAAATTGCTCCTGTAAACCGTTTTAGGGGACTGTGAGGAAGCTCTCGCTTCCCGCCGAGGCCTGTATTAACATAAATTTTTGCAGTTTGCTCCATGTCTGGAAGTTAGGTAACTCAAACATCAAAAAATGCTGGATCTGTGCCTTATATATATATATATATATATATATATATATATATATATATATATATATATATATATATATATATATATATATATACTTTATCATTTGAAATGTTATTTATTTTTTGGTTGTAGAATAGAATCATTTATAAGGAAATTTTTTTAGAGTATGCAACTTCATCGAAAAGCAGCTGATGATAGGCAAGCTGGTAGTGTAGGGTTATCGTTTCTTGCTAGGCAAAGACAAGCCGCTGCCGTACGCAGAAGTTCGTCGTCGTCATCTCTAAGAGCTAAAGTGACTACGTAAGGTAATAAACTGACTAAGTCGATCGAAACATATTCAAAGTATAATTATAGATTTGTTTTTAAACGTTTTTGTCATGTTAGTTTTCTTATTGTTAGTTTTACTTATTTTTAGATTAAGCTTAGTTTCGATATAGGCATCCCTCGAAAATCACGTGATTGTTGTGCAACGGATTAATAAATTTAGATTTTGATCTCATTAGATAGAGAGCAGAGGAGCAACCAATTTTTTGAAACAATTCGACATTTGTAAACAAATTTGTAGTTCAAAACTAATTTATGAAAATATATTATTTAAAAACTATAAAGTCATGAAAATATTTTATTTAAAAACAAAAAAATGTATAATCATAAAAATGTTTTTTTTTTTTTTTCACAATTTAGAATTTAAAATGTTGATTAAAAAAAAAAAAAAATTTCAGCATAAGTTCAATGTTAATTTTTCTATCTTTAATTTAATAATGAAGAGAAAAGATTCTCTTATAAACGAGATGTTGTATCCAATAGCAGGATTTTTTACAGGATGGTCAGCCAACTGGAAATCTGGGAAAAGTCAGTGATTTTCGTTTTTTTTTTTTTTCAAAAGTCAGGGGAAAAAAAATCTCTTTTTCATTGGGCACTATATGTAACAGAGCACCATTTCTCTTACAGATCATGTTCGAAAATAGGACTACTGTTTCAGTCTATGTTTACTGACAGTTTTATAGCTAAAAAAATGACCACTGGGAAAACTAAAGTAGCCTATAACATCACACATGGTCTTGCCCCATATTTCCATTATCCTGTTTATTAAAGCGGTGTTTAGCTCCACACGCATAGTCGTATGTTTTTATGATTCTTTAAACAAAGTTGTTCAAAAAGGTCAAATGGATATTACCATTCGTTAGTGAGATGTTATTCGCAACCGTAACACTTTTCATGAGTGTTTCTTGATCATGCATCTGCAAATAATTTGTACAAAGGTTTTACAAGTGTTTTAAAGAAAAATCTCCAAGCCAAATTCTTATAGATGGACCAAATGAGAATTGGAAATTTTTTTGATATTCTCAATAATGAATTTGTGAAAATTTTTAATGCATCTATTCTTAAAAATGAAATCATGTAGCCTACATATTGCACATGTGTCATTGTATGTTATCATTTCAAGCAGGTCATAAAAATATGAAATGGAATGTAAATACAGTATTCAGAATTTTTCATAAACTTTTTCATGATAGTCCTGCTCAGATTATCAAACAATTTATTGAAGCGATAAGTTGTTTCTGGATTTTGTTCAACAAGGTTAAAAATGTATCTGTATGTTAAAAAGCTTAAGATGTTTTTGATAAATGAAGTTAGTGCCACGCAGTCTAAACTACCTATTAATTAATTTTTCAACATTTGGCTTCAATTGTAGAGCCGTTGTTAAGACTTTTTCAGTTAGATTTTCTATTAGCACCATTCTTTTATCAAGAGCTTGAAAAGATAATGAGATCTTTTTTTTTTTTTTTTTATTTATTTATTTTTTTCAAGCAACCATTTATAGTTAAAGGTAATTTTCGATAAAATATTTAAAAATATTAAATAAAAGTACATTTCATTATTTATAATGATTACGAGACCGGAGAACCTGAAGAAGATAAAATCTTATCATCAGTAACCTTTGGTAATAAAAATTGAAAATAAAAGTGTATTGTTAGAAAAAAATCATGTAAAGAATCTTGATTGGTAATAAGTTCGATTATGTTCTTTTTAAATTTTTGAGATGTATTGGCTTCTTTAAGTTTACTACTCAGGCATGTAAAATGGTTCCATCGCATTGGGCCACGATAGGAAATGGCAAAGCTCCTAAGTTTTGATGTACGGAAAGGTTTTTTAAATCTTCCGGTAGATCGCGTGTTGTATCGGTTTAATGTTTTAGGGAAAATATTTTCGAAAACCTTCTGTGTTTTTTTGACTGATGTTGAAACATAAATTGTGTAATTTTGAAAATATTTAGTTCATAATTATTAAGTGCCCTCGTGCTTTTTAGAATAGGATTAGTATTTGTGAAGTGATTTTGAAAATGAATAATGCGTGCTGCATGATTCTGTTGTTTAAGGAGACAGTCAAGTTAAGATTTATTTGTACTACCCCAAACAATATTGCTATAAGATAAATAACTATTTATGAATGCAAAATATAGTTGAGTGAGTGTAGATTTGTCTAAGATTTGTCTGGTTTTGTATAAAATGCCTATACTTCTTGAGAATGTTGAAAAAATCAGTATTGTCAGTTTTCTGTTGTCCATAGGCATCAGAAAACTGACGTATGGACAACTCAAATTAAACTCAACGTATAAAAAACTGTCAAATGGACAGCTCAAATTAAACTCTAAAAAATTGTTCCAATTGCTCTCATTGCTTTTAGGGAAAGGTAATGAGATTAAATGGGAGCAATGTTTTTATAAAAGAAAATTTTAGTTTTACAATTCAGAAAATACAAATTAACTTTTTGAGCCGGAAAAAGTACATCGACAAAATAACCATTTTTTAAAAATCGTTTAGATGAATTTAGAGAAAAAAATCACAACGAAACGAAACTTATCGCAGCGCATTTGTTAATTTGACGCACGTAAACTAGCAAATATTTTGAATGCTTTGCTTTATTACTTCGCAAAGCATCTTAACAAAATCAATAATAAACGGAAACAGATTTATAGATTCTTTTAACAGTTTGTTTTGAGTCTTTTAAATTTTTTTATCCTTCTATATTAAAGTCGAATTTTTTTCAAAAATGACTTAAAATATCTTAAGAACTCCGAGAACGAAGAAATTTTATTCACTTTCTTGTTGTCTTGATAGTAAAAATATGATTGTTCATATATATATATATATATATATATATATATATATATATATATATATATATATATATATATATATATATATATATATATATATATATATATATATATATATATATATATATATATATATATATATATATATATATATATATATATATATATATATATATACAGCTGCGAAAAATAAAATAGCACGACCACCAAAAATTGGTTGAAATTAAAATTTTCGACTATTTTTGATAGTTTGAAAATCTTTTAAATACATATTAAAAAGTAAAATGGCTTATAATTTTTATAAAAAACAAAATATACAAATTTTAATATATAGTATTCATTTATTAAACAATAGTTCAAAAAAAATCGAAAAAAATTATAGGACCACAGCTTTAATGTGTACTTTAAAATAAGGAAATCAAATGATGAAATCAAATAAACATTTTACAATAAATATTAGTTATTTCGTTACATATTAGTATTTTGTAGTGTGACCTTTGTTGGCAATGACGGCTACACAACGTCTTGGCATCGAATTAACCAAGTCCTGACATCGCTTTAGCGTAATCTTGCTCCATATTTCCTTAACTACGTTCCAAAGTGACTCCTTCGTGGTGGGTTTGGCAGCAGCAACCACCTCCTATACGTCAGCCCACAAATTCTCAATTGGGTTAAGATTTGGCGACTTTGCTGACCACTCCATACCACGGCCACGACCACGTTCACATTATGCTCCTCAAACCAATTCTTCGTCTTCTTGCTAGTGTGATTTGGGTCATTGTTCTGTTGGAGCACCCAGGACAACAGCATTTCATAGTCTGCATACGGCAACATCACTTTATCCAATATATCAACATAAACGTGTTGATCCATAATAGTAGTATTGTGATGAATGGACCCTACTCCGTAATAAGAAAAGCATGCCCATATCATTATGCTACAACCTCCATGTTTAATAGTTTTGATGGTATATTTTGGATTGCATTCTGCATTCGGCGGTCTTCTGACATATTCCCGAGAGCCTTTTCCACCATAAAGCACAATCTTACTTTCGTCTGTCCATAAAAGATTCCTTTTTTCGAGTGGCCAACTTGAGTGTTTTTTAGCAAACGCAATACACTTTTACAACATGTCTGGCACTTAGAAGTGGAACTTCTCTGGGGCTACAGGCTTTTAATCCATTAACTCGCAGACAACTCCGAACTGTTTGTACTATTGCATCGATGTTAAAGTCTTTTTTCAACTCGGTAGCTGTTTTAAAAGGTTCCTTTTTAGCCTGTCAGACTAAGCGATTGGCCTGCAATGTTGAAATAGAACGTTTTCGACTGTGTTTTAGGCTTTTCTTAAAATTTTATGGCATTTCTTATCATTTTATTGGAACACTCAGCTAAACGACAAACTTCTCTATAAAATTACCCTGCTGATATCAACTTTCGGATCAGTTCTCTTTTTTCTGCACTACAATGCTTTCCGTCTCCCATTTTTATATGTAAATGTCTCCTACTAATACGCACATAAAATGAATAAAACAGCAAAAAAAATGCTTGCTATTTTCACAATTATTTTTACCGTTATCAGAGTATTTTACAACAGAAGAGTATGTGGTGCTATTTTATTTTTCGGTCAGAATTGGCATTTTTGATTAAAATCGAGCAACACCAAGCAGTTTTTTTCCCTAAATGGTTTGTTTTAGAAAATAAACATGTTAGCCAATATTTTAAACAGCAAAGCTATAAAAAAAATTTATTTTGCTTCTTAACAAAAAGGAAAATACGCTTAGTGGTGCTATTTTATTTTTCGCAACTGTATATATATATATATATATATATATATATATATATATATATATATATATATATATATATATATATATATATATATATATATATATATATATATATATATATATATATATATATATATATATATATATATATATATATATATATATATATATATATATATATATATATATATATATATATATATATATATATATATATATATATATTTTTGAATGCATTTAGGTGCTCCCAGAAGTCCTTACGGTCTTATCATAGAGCACCGCGGGAGAGCATTTAACAGGAAGTTCACGCCTCCTTCTGTACCAATGTCACTTGTTGGGCTAGAGCTGGCGTCGAACCTCGGACCTCTGGGTTCTATATATGTATATATAAATATATATATATATATATATATTTATATATATATATATATATATATATATATATATACATATATATATATATATATATATATATATATATATATATATATATATATATATATATATATATATATATATATATATATATATATATATATATATATATATATATATATATATATATATATATATATATATATATATATATATATAATAAATTTAGGTTCGAACAATTTGGAAGTCTTTCTTTTTCTTTTTTTTAGTATCTTCGCTTCCAACAAGGCTACAGCAACTACTATTAGAATTGGAAATTACTGGAA